GTTGAGTTTTAATTACTATAATACCTCAGAGTGTGACATCAGATGACCTAAAACAGATGGCAGAATTCAACCATCGGTTAGATTTTTCTGGTGGGCTTGTTTTCGTTTGACTTTGCATCATGGACACAGAGGTCTCCGAGTAACAGGTTATTATATTTATGACAGATTTTTACCTTGGCATGTATTTTTCTACAGCGGGTAAGCAAACACTTTATGTTTTATTAAAACTACATTCAAGTGAGTAAAGATCAGAGACTGAGCAGCATGCCAACATATTACTATTGGATGCCAAGGGAGGCAGATCAAATGCCTTTGAAGATGGTTAAAAACATGAATGTTGAAAATCGTTGAGGTTGATTTCATTGGTATTTGGGTTTTAGGACTCTCAGTAGCTTTACTAGATGTGAGAGAGTTTTGTGGTGTTTTGGGCAGCGTGTTGTGCCATAGATCTGCAGTCAGACATTATGGTGGTCAGTTTTTAAGCATTCTAAGTTTAGTTTAATCCAGCTAAAAATGCCTTTTATGGGCACTGTAAGTATTTCTGTTATAGAGCACCACTAAAAATTCAGATTTCATTAACACGGTGAAGGAGGACAGTAAAATAGGGGGGTTCACTGTCACACAGCAGGTTTCCTCATGAGCTGCCAGACCTTTGTTCTCAAGTCTCTAGACCCACTGCTCTATGAAACCCGCGTTGTTGTTTTACCTGTACCGACTTGCCTTTTTACCAGAGTCTGTATGTTTTAGCACTTTTTATTTTATTCATTTTCTTAGATTTTTTTTAAAGCAGTGACTTGCTGAGCAAATGCTGTGGCATCCCACATGCCTTCCCACTCCCACTACAAATAGACAGCGAAGGTGCTACATTCCATGGCCTGGGTACACATCCTCGAGGCTGAGGAGTAAGTTCTGTGTGTTGGTGGGCATGTCTCTGGGTCCACACAAAACAACAAAGACCTAAAAATACTATAATCTACCTGTGTAGCTGTGAGCGCTCACACCTGTGTGTTACTGTTTCTGTAGTGATTCACTTCCTGTTTCCTTTATTGTGGCCTTGTTTGCCACACTTGGCTCTTCCTGGCCCCTACTTTCCTGTGTCTTTCTTCTCTGGTTTGTCCATTTATTACTTTTCTTTAAGCCTTGTCTGCTCATACTGTGAAGTAGTGAGGTACAAAATTCTCATGTCTGAAATAAGAGAAACTGTTCATAATGGCTCAAAGAGATCAAAATGAAATTAATACTTTGTTCTTTTGATATTCATTTCAATAATATATACCCATAAATTGTTCTACTATCCACAGCATCTTTTTTTGTATACACTTATATATACAGGCAAGTCAGTTGTTTTAGGAATAACAGAATTGCTTTATTGTTCACAAAACATTTTCATGATTTAATGTTGATTGACTAATAGTTTTAAATCGTCTTTAATGTTTTTTGGTTGCTTGCCACTGACGGCAGACACACAAACAGCATCTGGCCTGCTGGTAGTTTCACACGATGAAGATCACCTGTCTGTCATCTCATTTGATCTCCAAAAGGCTTCAAATAAACTCAGTTTGGTCAATATCCCTTTACCCAGTGTTATATTTCCACATCTAACAAAAAAAAGAAATATGGAGGGGAAAAAAGTTGTTTGATAAGAGCCCCCGCACACTTTTTTCTTCTTCTTCTTCCCGGCTTTGTCTTAAGGGATGAAGTTTGCAGATAGGTGGTGTGAAACTGGCAAGTCCTAAAATGCACAGTGGCATTGATTTATTCCCACTGGACCCTGCTGTGAGTCCTCTTCTCCCTCGGCTGCTGGTGTTCCACCCTTTGTCATAACTGGTATATGTGTATAAGCAAGTCTTTATGAGCAGCCTGCAGAGTCTGCTCCCCTGGGTCCCTGGCCGTGTACACAGGGTGCCGCCTCCTTCCGAGCTGTGAGAAGCGGGGTTCTGACACGGCCTGTCCCTTTAGCTCACTCTGAACGTTTGACACACCGAGCGCAGAGGTCAGCCTGACCTACTTTTCCCCTGGCGGCCCTTCTGCTGAGCCGCAGCGCTTCTCGGCGGGGGGGCAGCGAGGGCGGAGCTGCGTCCGCCTCCACTGCTGTCCGGGTGTGTTAAATCATCGCCATTTGTTCGGAGACACGTTCAAGTGTGTGTTTGTGCTTTTTTATTTTTTTTATTTTTATTTTTTTTGTGTAGGTGTGTAGGAGGCATCCCACATTCGTGGACACACACACACACACACACACAGGCTTGTTCTGAGGTTGAACGTGAAGTGCTCTGTGGGGGTTGCAGGTAGATGCTGGGCAGCACTTGGGCAGAACCCCTGCAGTGAGCTCTGTCTGACTCACTTTGTGTACAACCGCAAACACTCTCTGACCTCCTCCACCTACTTCATTTCCTTCTACTGTAGATCATCTTATGCCTTCACAGCTACGCCTGTTGTCTCGAAGCAAAGACCTCACAGACGTGGATGCTAAATCTTCAAGCTTTGATCTAAATCTTCTGGCTGTTTGTTAACAGTGACACTGTGGCCCTCATGTTTCATTAGACTGCCGTGTTGCTTTTCTTATTCTGTCCTACGCAGAAAATGCGATTCGTCAAATGCAGTGGCTGCCACTGTCATCTTGATGGATCTGCTGTGATCTCTTTCATCCCAATGACCTGCAATCTGTTAGTGCCACACAACAAATGTTCCGTTAGAGCTGGCGAGATTTTACCTGACACAATACAGGATGCCAAGATCGCAGTGGCTGGAAAGAGGGGAGGAAAGCAGAGTTCATTAAAAAGTAAACTTCTGATGTAGCAGCATGCCAAGGGTACTTGACAGTATCAATGATTTAGACCTTGCAGAAGGCCCTTAATGGATAGAGCCACCTTTCTGTGCAAGTTCAGCTGGCTTTGTCCTCTTGGTATTAAGTGATGCACAAAAAGAGGATGTGAGAAAAAATGTTTCAAAGTACTTTAATATGAATGGCAACGTAAACCTCAAATGACGAACCCTCTTAGACACTCTTGTTGCACATATGCTGTGGCTTTAAAGCAGCAAGCGCGGGCTAAATTGAGAGCCTCTCGTCTGTTTGTCACCATCCACTATGCATGACCACACTGAGTGTACACATTGTTTCATTCAGCCAGAGTAATGCTAAACAAGCTACACGCATAAAAAAAAGAGACATTTATGATGACGCTGTATGTTGCACATTTAGCAAAGAAGCCTGATTTGAACGAGAACCTATTTGGCTGAAAGTGGGCAGCATCAACAAACATGCAACAATGCAGTTAATCAGTAAATTGTGCTGCCCCGGGGCCATGGGATTACTGTTGCTGTCTCTCATATGTCAGGGCCACATGGTGTACGAGGTGTGATTACACAGACCGGGGTTTTCTGTGGCCGTGCACTGTTTCACTCGGAATTTGGCTTCATTAGATTCAGCTCACACAAATATTCTGATCCCAGTGCAGTCCCTGTGCACTTCCTTATCCGGTTATGGGGATCTGATAACAGTGGGACCAAAAGATCCTGTGGTCTAGGATGTGTTCCTGAATTGATTCATATGGTTGTAATAGCTGATAATGTTGCGTATAGCTTTAACTTGAGCTAAGATGGACTGAAGCTGGAACTATAGGGTAATACATCCCTCAATCACATACTAAAGCATGAAGGAAAGAGCCTTGATATCATTACTGGTGTTGATTCAAATAGAAGTGGGCCATATGTTCTGTTTTTATATTTATATATATATAGTAAATATAGTTCTTTAAGGAAGATGCTAAAATGTGACAGTCAGTGTGCAGTTTTCAGCCCATGGCAGAGCTGTCCTGATTTAGTAGGAAATTTAATCCATCAGTCACCAAAGCGTAGAGCCTTGACTGAGGTGACTGATTAAAAGATCATTGGCCAGAGGGTCATTTAAGATGATGGACCAGCCAACTGGCTCGAGGTAGAGGAGCTCAGTGATTGCACCAGAGAGGAGACTTTGACCATGGCTTGCAGGTAGGAAGGATCAGCCTTTTTTGTACTAAAGGCCTAACAGATACTGTTTGATATTTAAAAGATAGATTTTTGGCTTTCACTTTGGGAAAATATCCCCTCTGGTACAAGAGCAGAATGGTTTTTACTATGGCACCCATTACTCGCTGGGTCTGTGGGCAGCCAGTGTTAGACCTTGGCTTGATTGTGCAGATATTTCAGAATGATTTAACAAGTGAGAGAGACCACATTACAACAAGCCTGTCATTAGCATCCCTCCTGTGGTATAATTGCCTATAGTTTTGAATATGTGGTTCCCATCTTTTGCACTTAGGGGTGTTTGACTCTGTAAATCTCTTTGTGCATTTCTCTGGGTTTACCTCCGGCATCCTTTAAACTCATCAGAGAATCTTACTGCCTTTTAGTGTGACCATCTGTCAAATACTAAACCACAAAGTGGAGCTAGGAGACATGTGCATCCACTGGCTCTTGTGAGCTCTTTGCTGGTCTGGCTCCTGCTGCCTCTGAGTGCCCTAATATTGCTGGTTAAATTAGGCCTGGAGCATTGCTCTTGAGCCTTTTGCAGCTGCCTCAGTCCGCCTCTCCTCCCCCTATCAGGCAGCTGGATGAACCAAATGTGGAGTAGCTTATAACATTGTAATGAGTTAACTTTCAAAATGATCTACATAATTTATTTCCTGCCCCCACAGGAGGCTGCTGAAGCATTAATTAATATCAGACCCTGCTATCAGCAACCATCCCAGTGTGGGATTCCTCCTGGCTCCTATTTTTGGCACCCGTGGAATTTGATATGTTGTGCAACCCAAATGCAGTTTGTTGGACATCAGCGATGTGTTCTGATGGCTTAGTGCACCAGTGGAACTCCTGTCTGATCGGATGTTGTTAAAACAAGCAAACAGCAATGACACGAACTGTGACTTAACCTAAATGATTCATTACTGTGTCTTTTTTTTCTTCCCCCCTGCATGTGTGTACTCACCTTGTCACTTTTCTCTCTCCCTGTCGCCCCTCCACAGAACTCAATACGGCATAACCTGTCACTGAACAAATGTTTTCTGAAAGTGCCTCGCTCCAAAGATGACCCTGGAAAGGTAAGACCCAAAGAAGTCTTAATTCTCAACCGTTAGTATTGCCTGTGAAGTGTGTTCACTAAACAAAGCCAGTTGTCAGAATTCATACTTGAAGCAGTTCTTTGGGGGGGTGGGGGGGTTGTTACCTTTGACTGGCTGCCAGCACTGACAGTCTAGGAATCGACGGAATGCCTGTAATCCATTATGAACGTCCCATCCCCACAAACGTACGTTTTAAATGCATGGGGGATTCTTTTTGGAGTACATCTAGATTAGGAGGGGAAAGTCAAAGATTGATCACGCAGTGCAGAAGTTATTTCCAGATTTTGTAATAAATAAAAAAAGTCAACAAAATATGCATATGCACCCACCTTAACTCTCTAGCCCCTGTTTGCCGTCTTGGTAAAAGGAACATATAGTCCTATTAATTTAGCATTTGAATCTCAGTAGGGCCACCTGCATTTTTCTATTTCAACCTGATTGACTCCACAATCTCTAACGGTATCAACCTGCTGAGGGGCATCCCCTGACGGTTTGCACCGTTCTCGAGGAAGGAGCCTATACTTACCGCATTGGTTTGCATAGGTTCAACCATATGTAGCCCAACCCAGATACCATCCCAAGACTCGCAGAGCACAAAGTACGTATGCTGAGGGAACCACACAAATAATCACACACAAACGTGTACACACAACACATGCATGGAGAGCTTCAGCAGGCTGTGTAGAGGATGGGGACTGAATGCTAATTTCATGTTTTGCTGTAATCCTCTGATATTGACACTCCTGGGAGCTGCTCCACTAAATACAAAATAATCTATTGCTGTATGGATCCCATTCCAAATGCATGGCCAACATGCTTGCATCCTTAATGTTTAATTTGAAATTTTCCTCACTCCCTTCCCCCCCGAAGACAACTTCAAAGAGCTGCTAGCCGGTCTTGATATGTTGCATCAATATTGTAATGTGGCAGGAATATGAGAACTGCTGGTTGGATGAGATAGGAGAGTCATGTCGCTCTCCGTCTGTGTCTCTCCCTGAGATGGTGTAAGAGATGACAGTTTGTATTGTGCATGCACACACGCTGTCTAACCTGGAGGTAGGAAACTCAGCCTGTGAAGGCTACTGTTAATAATCTGTTTTTTAATTGGCCTCATGTCTGGAGTTGGAGTTTCAGGGATAATCAATTTCCTAAGTTTTTGTTTGTCTACCCAAAATTTACATCCAAAAGAGGAAGCAGATGATATAATATTTGCTAATATATGAAAATTAGCCACGTCATTTAGGGGAAAAGAGCAGGTAGTTTCCATCTGTTACCAGATCTATATTTAAAAAATATCCACACTGAGGCCTTTGTTTTAGTACTGCAGAGAATAGTGCCGCTTTGCTCTGTTTTCGTCCCAGACTCCAACGATACACTTGGCTAGGCATTGCTCCACTACGTTTCAGTATTTGTGAATAATTGAATGACTCTTTATGTGCTTTTCTTTTTTCCTGCAAACTCTCAGGGGGTGAATGTAGGAAAATGCAAAAACTCCCATCCCATGAGGGTTAACTTAAAGTCTTCTCCCCCTTCAATTAAAAGCAGCCTGGCTTTGTCTGTGCACAGCTGAATTTCTACCCGCCGTATTGAAAGCAGAATTTGATCACATGTAGAGACAATTTCACTCACCTTAACATAAATTATTTAGTGAAGCCTCTTGTTGAAAGGTTTAGTGAGGTTTTTGGTTTACTCAACTGAAGTCTACATCAATATGTGAGCAAGTTTCCGCATCCTTTGTTGGTGTATTGAGAATTATTCTTCCCCCTAAGGAAAGTATTAATTGACCCCAATGCCTCACACATTCTAAAAGTTAGAATTTTGACCCCCTTGACGATTATAGGTCAGCAGTAGCAGGGAGTGTATGTGAGCTGTGAAAATAACAGATTGGCCGGATTTAACAAGACCAGGTGATTGTGTTTTTCTTCACTTTAGAAACAGCTTGTTTCACGGCCTGTTCTGTTGCTCAGAGAATTTCTTCTGGAAAAATAAGAATTATTCTCTGTGCAAGTTATTGTGGAGGTGCTTTCTCTTGACAATTGAGAATGATCAGGGTTATCATGAAATATTGACAATAAATTCAGTACCTGCCACACCTCAGGGTAAAAAAATCTAATGTTTTAACAACTGAGCAGAGTTTCTGTTCCTGACCTGCCTTAATTCCTGGGCTCAGGCAGTGGATCCTTTCTCCTTGGCAACAGCGCTCTCTTACCAGTACAGGAGACTGAGAAATCAGAGCTTTTAACATTTTACCGTCCTCCCTCGGCAGCTTCTCATTGAGGAGCAGCCATATACAAGGAAAAGCCAAACCTTCCCTGCTAACAAAGCCCACCCACACACTGCACAAACTCTGAAAACTCCAGTAAAGTTTGGGGCTGATGGGACAGATTTCAGCAGAGCCGATGAGACCTCTGAGTATTAGATATGTTGTTCCAGCAGGTGTATACCAGTAGGAAATAAAAGAACATGACGTTTTCAGGATTTTTTAGTAGTTTACACAACAGTTCACAGGTCAATCACAGAGGTCGATGAAAGGAAACGCTGAAGGAAATTAGTGCCGTCAGCTCACAGGTCCTTTCTTCATCTACAGGGCTCTTACTGGGCCATCGATACCAACCCAAAGGAGGACGCTTTGCCTACCCGGCCAAAGAAGAGGCCGCGGTCTGGCGAGCGGGTGAGTCTGATGAAAGAAACACTGCATATTCTTAAGCTATTCTGCTCTTTTTTATTGCATTCTCATAGTTTGATTTAATGTTTCTCTGAGATTTTACCTTTTGATACACCCCCCCTTTCCCCCCCTCCCTTACTGTTTGTCCACTGCGCCCAGGCCAACATGCACACACGTACAGTCTCTATAGGAATTATATTTATACCTTAATGTTCTGTTTTCACATGATATTTTTCACAGTTTTTCAAAAAAATAAACATCAATTAAAGCAGAACTGTGCACATCAGCTAGTCTGAGTGGGAGCTTTAGGCTTTAATTATGCATGAGTTTCATCTGCCGTTAGTGGAGTTGTACAGGGTTTAGAGAGCTGCTCAGATTGACCCGGCTCCTGGGCATCCCAGCACGACGGGCCCTTCCCCACAGTGTGGCTGACCACAGTGCGATTCTCTTTGGCTGACAAAGGAGACCATACACACACATTTATCTCTATCAGCCACATACTTGCAGCACATTTAGAGCTACAAGAGAGGTACATTTGTCTTTAGCATCCAGTTTTCAGTAAAGCTCTCCCTATGCACCTCTGTTCTTTTTACGTGTGACACAAAAGAATACACAATGTGAAGAGTGCGTTTTCTGCTCTGCACGTGCTCTGTGCTTAACCCCTCCCCCCTCAGAAAACCGTCTGCCCACAGGGCATTCCATTAAGAGTCACAGACACTGAAATTGAGATGATTTAAAAAAAAAAAATCTCATTTGTGTTTATCGTGAATTAAAAGTGGTATTGTTGGCAGCCAATCCTCTTACAATAAGCAGTTTTTTGGAGACAGGCATGACAGAGTTATCTCTCACAACAGTGTGTCTGTACTGCAAAACGTGGGTGTGTATGTGTGTGTGTGTGTGTGTGGCTGTACATTATGTCTGCTTGTTAGGGTGGGGATGGTTGTGCTGGTGCTCCATCTTTTTTAGAAAGAGCAGTTCCAACGTGGCCTAGAAAAGGTGTTGCGTTGCTCTGTCACCTAAATACTGTTCTGGTTGATGTATCACGTGAGAACATTTGTTACAAACTTGGCATAGATTATTTCATTCAACTTGCATCTGTGGTGTTTTGTGTTTTTAATAATTGGATTTAGTTGATTTTTCTCTTTTTTCTCCCTGCCTTTATACCCTACTTCCAACCTCCACAGGCTTCCACGCCATACAGCCTGGATTCAGAGTCTTTGGGGATGGACTGTATGATCTCTGGAAGTGCCTCTCCAACGCTGGCAATCAACACTGTGACTAACAAGGTACTACAGCCAGCCATCCACCCTCCAGCTCCAACACACACCTGGCTACATGGCTGCACCCTGACCCCTCCCACTTCTCCAACCACCTACAGCACTATTCCCCACAGAGATAGGCACACTCTTGTGGAGGGGAGATGCAGGCACACACACAAACATATGCTCATGTGCCTAAAGCTTCTCTTCACTGCAACCCACACCAAAATATACAACTACCTGCCCTGTTGCACCTTTTCCCTCTCCAACAACAGGCAGCAGCTCTTGTTATCTTCACTCCGGAAACACGATGCTCCCACCGACACTAACTGTTTCCACATTCGTGCGAAGGCTTGCAACAGAATCCTCCTCATGCTCCGCGGCATTCTGTTCAGGCACCTTAAAGGCAGGCTGACGCCCAGAGTGGTGTTTCTCATTCTGTGACCACACTACAGGTGACCACCCCTGCTGCTGGCTCTGTCTGCTCTCAGTGTTTTTTCATATATCTATAAAAGCGTGGAAGCACTTGTACATCATAGAGCAAAGCTACAGGGACCGCTAGCTGTTAGATGTGAGTGTGCGGCTCACTCTGAAATTTAAATAGGCTTTTTAACCTTAAGCTCTCATCCTCTGGGCCCAGTGGGGGCAGCTCTCAGGAGTACTTTTAAAAAGCCTACAAGAGTCGCTTATTCATTTGCTGCAAGCGTTACAAAAAGTGGCTTAACACGAAGAGGGGTGCTCGTAGGATATGTGAGTTGGTGTCGGTGTGTATACGCGTTGGGGGCTCTTAATGTTCAGAGGATGAGCAAACGTCTGAACATATGTCTGCCTGTGCTAGGACTTGTGTTCACATGTATGGAAGAATATTTTACAGGTTGTTTTAGCTTGTTATGACAAATGTCAGGCGGCTAGCTGAGGGCTGTTTTTTGGGAAACAGAAATAGTGTTTTTTCCTGTTGCCGTAGGAGACGCATTCATACAACCTAATGCGAGGAAGATGACCCTCTCTGAGTGCTGCAAACAAGCACTTCCGCCAATCTCTCCCAGCAGTGACTGTATAATAAGGACCTGATGTTAAGTGCTAACAGTTATATCCTGACTCTGCCATCACACACCCCCAGTAAAATTACTTGGAGGATCAACAAGCACAGTATAGAAAAAAAACACAACACATCTAATGTGCGATGATGACAGCTACTCTCTTTATGTTCATTTGATTGTGTCAAAAATTGTTTTGGTGGTAAAGTAAACAGATGACAAATTGGAATAGCAACAGATCTAATGCTCTCACTCCTTGGAGAGAACTTGTTTCTCACTCCTTTACACATACACACACACTATAAACACTCGACAGGCCACGCCTCTTTCGGTGCTGTTTGCCAAGCCACAGGAATTCCCTCTCTGTTTTTCTCTCTGTCTTTCTATTCCAGTCTCTCCCCATCATTCCCGCCTTCCCGCATAGACCAATGGGAGAGGCTGGCAGGACGACTACTGAACCAGCAAGAACCTCTGCTCCCCTTCTCTCTTCTGTCAGACATTCCTGACAGAGTATTACAACTCTTGCTTTTTCTTCAGCTCTTCTCACATAGGCCCACACTGAAAGTGGAGTTCTGAGGCAGCCCTAAACACCAGAGTGTACGTGATGAAGTTTTTGGCACTCAAGTGTGGCGATTTAAGGAAAGAAAGTGGCATTAGTCTTGCTGATGAACGGCCGTTTTTTCCCCCTTCTCTCGTGTGTGTTCAATCCTGCATGCAGGGATTGTGCCGAACATTGGCTGGCATTGTTGGAGACACCTGGGCCAATCTTGCTTTGATTTCATAATCCATGTCTCATGCTCTAGATTAGGCCCCCTCATGTAAAAGACACCTCTGGCTTTTTACTTAATTCACTGCTAAGAATAGAACTCTCCTGCTAGCTGTACACTGTATTTACTGTGGAGCCGCTCCTGTCTGTGTGAGCATGTTGGCCCCGGTCTGTGTGCATTTAAATGTAGTATTCTACCTGTGCACACTTGTAATCGCTGAAAAGTTCTTTTTGTCATATGTTCAAACATGCTCTCGTGAATGTGGGTGAGATGTGAATTGGTTTTAGACTGACTGTGCGTGCTTGAGTGGGTGTCTTCGCACAGGGGACCTGGGGGGGCCTGGGTAAACCACAGAGCAGCAAGGTTTTGAAATCATCACACTTTATGGTTGAGTAGAGCAAAAATAGATTGCGGTAAGAGACTTAAGGCATAAAAGCCTGTTTTACGACTTCATTACACATAACATTTATATTTCTGCAGCACGCTGTTTTTGATTAGCATTGTAGGGCTGATTCTGTATAAGCCCTCAGTTTTAGCTGCTCATTGAGTTCCCCTTCACGCTAATGAACACTGGAGTCAAGCCCACACCGAGTGGAGAAAGCTAGAGTTGCTTAATGAGCTTCTCTCATAACCTCCTGTCCTCCTCTCCCTGTGTTTTCCACTAACAGTGTTCCTTGAATTCAGTATCTGTGCTCTCATTTAAAAAAGAAGTATTAAAATCCCATTGTTAGTGAGTGAGCAAGAACCGAAGGGTTATTTTCACCAGGCTCTCGCTCCGAATCCTGAATCAGAACCAGCATGTTTTTCAGCCATTACAGGGGAGGCAGGGAGGCTGCCTGAGTTTCTCCGTCTTGTTTGCGGCCTGTGTGGTAGCACGCTGTGGCTCAACAGAAAGACAAGAGGCTTCAGTCCAGTGCTGCTGCTGTGAGGAGGCTGCTGGCGGGGCCGGGCCAGCCTGAAGGCTACTGCAACTGCTGCCTCATTGTGCTCAGCACAGAGCCCGCTCTGTTCCACTCAAGGTGATGAGCAGATGCCACCATGCTGCACTCAGTCATGCATGGGCAAAAAACTTGCACCCATCTTGGGGAAACAAAGTCCTTTCCCACTGCAACAAAGCGCAACAACAACATTACTGCCATTCCTTTCTCACAAAAGAAAATCCAGCACACGGGCCGCTCTCTGTGGGTGTCATATTCATTTTCCGGATCATTCTCACGATCGTCTTAATTGTCTTACAGCGCATTTTATTTCAGAAGGTTGGGGGTAACAGAACTTTGTTAGAGGTAATTAGAATAGTCATCCTGAAGTGCCTCGGCTAGTTGGCTCCTACATTGAAAGGTCAATGTCTGGGCTGCACTGAAATCCTTTGTTAGCTGTCCCAAACGGATTTGCGCTCGGTGAGCAGATGTGGCTGACATCGGCAGTGCCATGACCTTTAATGATGGGAATGTCTCAGCTGTCTCCAGATCCCTTTACACATTCAGAAAGAACCCCCTTAGTGAGTATGGCGAGTGTTGAGCAGCAGCCTGTGTCTCCCACACACGTGCAAAAAAAATAAAAAAGCTTTTCTACTGTTATGGCTTCACACAGTCTTTACATTTTCATATGAAATGAAGTTGTTTAACTGGACACCAGTGTCTCCAAGGACCTATGGCACGCTCTACCTTTCACAGGACTGAAGATGACATTGATAATGGTAATTACCGTCTGTTTTTAAGAGGTAAAGTCTTGTATGCTTGTCTGTGTTTCAGGTGGCGTTGTACAACACAGACCAGGATGGGAGTGATAGTCCGAGAAGCAGCCTTAACAACAGCCTGTCTGATCAGAGCCTCGCCTCTGTCAATCTCAACAGTGTGGGCAGTGTCCACAGCTATACACCGGTAAGAATAGGAGAAGTCTGTAATTGGACGCCGCTCTGTAATTATGAAGGTGTTTCAGAGGTATTTCTAATTCCAAAAAACCTGGACCTACATGAAGATTACTTACATTTATTTGCTTTCAAGAAGAGAAAACCGAATGTGAAAATGCCTTGAGGACATTGGATTTGATCAAGTCGACTCCAACAGACGTCAGCCAAGGGAGAACACCTATTCCTACAGAAGCATAATGAGGCACCAAAAATGAACCTGTCATTTGGGGGGGCAGCAATCAGCTAAATGTTTTCAAGCACTTCATGGTTTATACACTCCAGCTTGTATCGAGAAACACTTTTTTCCTCCTGCAATGATTTGAATGCATCAAATCCTCCAGAAAAACACCAACCCTGCAGTGATGGAGCAGGACTGCACCCAAACCAATTATACTGAATGTAACATTGTCCCGGGTCTGAAATGGTCCGACTGACTTATATCCAAGGAAGATTTTAGGTTTATTTGAAGCTGTTAATGAGCACGATCCAAATTATATTTTATATTATTCATATATCTCCATCTGTGGGAGAGCCATAGTCACTAAAGGAATGAAAATGAAACACAGCCAGGCTTTAAAAGTGAATTGTATCCCGCATTTCATTTGATCGGAAAGCCCCGGGAGGATCTCTTCAGAGGAGCCAGATGTAGGCAGCAATAGACCGAGGTTCAAGGTGGACATGAGCGAGAGCACAACATCAGGAAGGGGGTTAAGGGAAACAAAGAAAAATGTGCTCGCTTCTGGAAGCCAGACAAAGAGAAGCACTTCCTCTGATGTCCTCCCACCAGAGGTGCCCCCTCTTTGGTGTGGTCCTCCTGCATCCTGGAGTGCTGCCTGCTCCAGGCGCTGGACATCGATCGGCTCAGCCTGATGGATGTGCTCGTGTTTTCTCTCTCTCTCTCAGCCAAGGCGGCAGCTCGCAGTAAACACTCCGGCTTTATTATCACCCCCTCATTCTTCCCCAAGCCAGTTTGTGAGCCGTGCAGCTCAGCAGCCTGTCCACGGACGGGAAGACTTAAGCATCAAAAAGTGTACGCGACCCGTCCTCTCACCATGGACAGGGGTCAGGTCACTGTGAAATAGTGATGGGCTTGTGTCGCCGCCCCTGCTGTGTTGAATCTCATAGAAAATCTCGCCACTGGAGGGAACATTGCTGGCTGTCTCATACCCAGGGGCAGCACGTAACATTGACTGCCCACACAAGTACATGGATAAAATGGTTGCTTATTTGTACAAGGTATTGCTATTGATTTTGTTTTAAATACATTTTGCTTCACCACCTGAGTATTGGCTTTGTGTCCGTTTGAGTTGCTCTCTTAATGTTATGTGAGCCAAGGCAGTAAACACTGACCTGGATTGTTGTGCTTTCTGTGTTTTATTCTTTTATATGTTTCTTGACTGACACGTCTTCCCTCAGAATTAAACTTTGCTACAGTCAGAGGAGTCAAATTATACTCATATTTTACCATACCTAGATGACTTCTTTGCATTAAAAAAAAATCTTGGGGTTTTTCTCTTTTCTGTATTTCTGGCTCCACGACCAGAAGAACTCAGCAGGTATCTTTCAAGAATATGTTTTCTGGATGTGTCTAAACTATACTGCATTCCCCTTAGCATCAGTAGTCCCCGTAGTCTTTGCAGCACTTGGAGCAGAGCTTTAGTCAATATAGTTAAAATCTTATTAGTGCGATATTAAACGCAATTTATTTTTGCAACAATATTGTCCTGTGCTTAATTCTTTATCTCCTCATGTCCCCAGGTGAGCAGTCACCCTGAGCCTGTATCTCAGTCTATGAGCCTGCAACAGCCCCCACAGTCCCAGTACAGCATGCCAGACCGGGACAAGCAGCTCCTGTTCTCAGAATTCGAAAATCTCAGTGCCTCCTTTCGCAGCCTTTACAAGTCTGTTTTTGAGCAGTCCTTCAGCCAACAAGGTGAGTGGCCTCACGAGAGCTTTGAATGGAAGTCTAGGAGAAGAGCCTAAGCTTTACTTATCAAGGAACAGGATGATCCGCAGAACGATTTTCCTAATGTGGGGTTGTTCTTAACAGCAGGGGCTGCAGAGAGTCTTTAGGCACTAATGAGGTTTACTTGTATGGAGCAGGTATTCAGCTGGGCTGACTTGGCTTTAATGCAAATGCATACTGAGTATTTTCATGAGCTTTTGCCAGGGAAATGTCAAAAGACCTAATTTCATATTCAAACACAGGGTCTGAGAGTTCATGCCTTAAATTGATATTCTGCAATGTAAAGAGACATGACTGTTTCCACTGTATGGGTGATTCTCTCCTTTATCTTTTTTTTTTTTTTTTCCATCGCATGAAAGTTGTCTGGGTCTGGTCATGTCAGAAATGGTTTTTCATGTAGGCCGTGTTTCATCAGCGGAAGAGCTTATTGGCAAGCAAAAAGCTCTGTTAGACGTGAGTTTCATTTCTCATAATGTTGGGAGTTTGTGTCATGTAATGCGTAATGCTGGATGGAGCACAGCTTTGTAAAAAGGCTGAGTCCCTGCAGAACAAAAAGCAGTTCTGCTGATAATCTGATTGACTGATAAACATGGAGCATTTGACAAGCGAGTTATGAGCAAAGCAGACTGAGCTTTCTGTGCATAACCCACTTTCCCAAATCAAATGCATTTCATGGTATTGTTTTCAAAGAGTTCCTCTCATTTAATCTTTTGTCTACGTTTCAGTAGTTGAAAGTTGTTACCTTTTTTATGTGCATAAAAGTGAAATCTTTTAGTCAGACAAGCTCCAGCAATTAAAAAGCGTAAATAATCGAGCTAGAGGATTTCACACTTTGCCACTGTAGACAGTGAGCTAATTCACTGGCTTTGATAATAGGTAATGAGCTCGCATTATTATTCTGGTGCCGCGTTAATTGCTTTCTGTATTTCCCTAGTTGGACAATGGGCTTTCTGTGCCGATAAGAGATGCACCTTTGTCACCCCTGCAGTGAGTGTTATGTTCCGATTGTGGAGACGCGGGGCTGGAGTCGGCTCTAAAAGCACTCCAGTGAAATAGGTTTACTGTGCCAAAGCTGTGAAGGACAGGGCCTCTTAAGACCACTTCCCAGCACTCGGATGATTGCAGTCGGGTTAGCAGATGTTCATGCTCCGGTCATGTCAGTTTAGGAGGCGAGTGGCAGCATGGTGAAGACGTCAAAGAGGATTCGGGACTGTGTGATAAAGGAGGGCAAAGACTAGACACCTCGAGCTTCTGAACCGTCAAATCTGAACCAATCTGAGTCATTCCCTGCTATAAGAAAATGGCAGCTGGTCTATCTGAAAAAGTATCGCTACTTAAACAAGGGAGGGCCCCATCCCATCAGTGTGAGATGCTAAAACACATCACCATAACAAGCTGTTTTATGCATGTGAAGGGTCTCAGTGTTGACTCAATAATTGTGCTGAAAAGTGGTCAACACAGTCATTGTGTTCGTCTATATTCAGGCACTTAGCTTTCACATTAAGATGATTTCATGATCACTAGTTTTTTCTGTTATTTGCAAGGTTTGCTGAGTCAATGTGGTGTTTGAAAATAGTTTAAAACCAAATGTATCACATTACCAAGATATAAAGCTTAAATGGGAGGCAAATCCTTATGGCTAAGAGGCTGGAACAATTAAATGTTTTCAGTTCTGCTCTATGAGTAAGTAACCCATTAGAGAAATCCTTTAAAAAAACTTTTGGAAAAAATCCTTGTTGAAAGTTGAAACACTTTCAGCATTTAAATAAACACTTGATTTAATGCCTTTGACTAAACTTGATCTCTAATATGTCTTTAAGGACTTTTACTTCTGCGGGGTTAGTGTTTAAACATTCTTTGTTGCAATGCATCCGAAGCCGAAAGCTGTATTTATTCATTTGTTGCTGTCAGAAATCTGACGGTAGTAGAGGATTGAGTACAGAGAGCTTCCTCCTGAAACTTGGTTGAGTGTAAGTGTAAGCATGAATAGATAGATAGTATTTAAAAACGGCAGATAAATAAATATACTTAGTTACTTCAAATACGGCATCAAGAGATCATTTTGGCGCTTGCTGATAGAATAAATAATTTGATAAAAATCTATTGATGCACTGATAAAGAAGTAGCAAATATGGTTCCCTCAATGTTTATTGATTCACAGGTCTGACTAGCTGTTTCAGTGTTGTAACGGCTTTGTGTGGGTGTGTTTTGTTTCCCAGGTCTGATGGGAATACCGTCAGATTCGTCCCAGCAGACCCACACCTCCTGCTCCTATCAGCACTCCCCTAGTGGCACCATCAGCACCCAGAACAGTCTGTCTAACAACCAGCCCAACAACCACCCCAACAACCACTCCAACAACAGTGGCCAAGTGCCCCTGTCCCATCCTGCCCAGGCCCACCCTGGCCACGGCTCGCCGCACGCGCAGCACCTGCCGCAGCACGGCGGCGCCCACAACCAACACGGCCAGCACCCCCAGCACGCCGCGCACCCCCAGCACGGCCAGCACCCGTCCCACGGCCAGCACCCGCAGCAACACACGCCGCACCCCTCCCAACACCCGCAGCACAGCCAGCACCCCTCCCAGCACGGCCAGCAGCACCAGAGCCTCTCCCATCAGCCTCATCCCACCCAGCAACAGATGGCCTGCAACCCAGGTAAGAGCCTCCGTGAGCGGCCGTCGCCTTTTATCGTCTCCTCCTCATCCCATTCATCAGACGGACTAGCGAGCTGGAGCAAAGACGATGTGTTTACGGCCGAGCCTGGAATCACTCCTCGCTGTTTAGTCGTAAAGCCCAGAGAAACTGTTTTAGGTGCTAAACAGTAAATCATCACCTTATTTATTATCTGTGCTGTGAGAACAAAGCAGAGCTGAAGCTGGCTTCCTCAGCGTTTGCAGTCACTTGGCTCCCCCTAGTGGCCTGCCCGCTGAACTGAGTTTTTTCACAGCCTGAGAAAAGTGTTTAAGTTTTCTCTTTGATCTGACACTATCAGACTGCCTGCTCAAATATAAAATCTGACCGTTATGGAAATGCATCAACTGCCATTGTTGTTCAGCCAACAGCATGTAACAGTCACAGCAAACTGTGAGTGATGGAAGTAGGACTAAATCTGTCAGCTGGGCGTTTTAACCTTTATTTACAAATAGCATGCTGTGTGTGTGTGTGTTGCAGGTTTACTGTCTGACTGGTACCCAAATCTGGATGCACTGAAAGAAAGCTGTCGCATTGCCAGCAGCTATAACTGGGCTGATGTTGACCTTTCACCTTTCCAAGGTGCGGTTTGGACCTTTCCTCACAGCATCCGTAGCTGCAGAATTGTATTTACTGTTTCAAGTTTCCTTTGTCGGGTGCATTTCTGTGTGCTCGTGTAATCAGAAGGCACAAACATTTGAAGCCAGAGGCTGATGTTACAGCTCTGCTCCAGCTTTTGATTGAGTGCTGAGATGTCGGCACTACGGAGTTGATCACGACTTTAATTAAACTGAGCTCTTCAATTAAATAACACTGCCTTCAAGTTTAATTACAAAAACACTGAGCTCAGCAGGTCAGTTTATGCAATTACAGTCTAGAATTGCAAGGTAGGATGTTTTTTAAATATCACCCACTGAAGGTTACTGACATAATGAATATATATTGCAGCTAAGTTTTTGCTGTACGCTTGTAAATTAGTTTCTCATTAACTGCCTTTATGTTCTGCAGACGGTCTACTTTCATACATTTCATTATCACACAGCTATTTTAGTGCAGGATGTCGCTGTGACCGTGTGTAAATGTGATCCTAAATGTGTGTTCATGTTTCCAAAGGGTTAAGAGAGAGTATGAGACAAGCAGAGTTGAACAATTGGTGCCTTGAACCGACCCAGATTGCTGACCTCTGCTCGTCCATCAACCAGTTTTTTGCCCGCACCGGTGTAATTCAGCCACAGGGGGCAGTGCAGCCTCCTGTTTGCCATGGATCCATGCACAGCAACAAACCCAGCCAGCACCTCAACACAGGTTCCTGCGCCTTTGCTTTTCTTCAGATTTCTTTGTGAAAGGTGTAAATGTGGGTGTTTGTCATTGAGATGGGGATAGATAGTTATACTCTTTTGCTCACGTGTTGACACCTTTTCCTGATGTCTTTGTAAAGTAATTTGACATGTCCTTACAACTCTTTTATTACAACATAACTAGTTTTACAGGGCTGATTGAGACACTTTTCTTAGTATCACACTTTTCTGCACTGAGCCTTATTTAAGATCAATGTGCCACAATCACACAAATTTGAATTTAGACATTAATTAAACAAAATAACCCTTGATACACATTATGATCCTGTTGGTGTCCGAAAGAGCTGAAAAATCTTCAGGAAGTTTTATCAAACTGTTCAGTTTTCTGCATTTGCATAACTGGGTACTTAAACCAGAACAAGGGACAGTTGTCAAATGAATGGGCTGTGAGCATTTGTTCCCTGAACTGCGTTCACCCCCCTGCAGAAAGAGGGATGACTGCAAAGTTATAATTTCCAACTTTTGATTTAAAATGCCAATAAGAGGTCTACAACAGAGATACATAAAGTTTTTATCCTTTTCATCAGGAAATATCTACATGGACTCGAGACAGAGCATGTCCATGATGGGTCCTCCTGGATATCCCCACATGCCCCCCATGAGCAGCACAGGACCCACTATGACAGGTAGCACGCCGCAGCCTGAATAAAAAAGATGACACATAGACAGAAACACCATTTGTTTTTAATATGAATCTTTTTTCACTGCAAAAATCATCTCTCTGCAGGACACCACACACAGATGAACCAGCAGCACATGATCCCCGCCAGAAACTTCCAGATGCACCGCATGCCAGCCGACGACATCCAGGACGACTTTGACTGGGACTCCATCGTCTAGCCACTCCAGCTCTCTCTGCTAACAAACGGCAGCGAGGAGAGGAGGTGGAGGCCCGCAGCTGGAGGAGGCCACTGGGTCATGCAGAACATTGGACGAGCTTTGGAGAAACACAGACTTCAGAGTCCTGACAATTTTACAAAGCATAATCAGAAAATGTTACTTTGAAGACAATCATATTAGTCGGACGTGTTTTAAGTGGTCGCTCACCAACTCGAGAGACAAGTAGAACTCATTCATGTCCAAACCACATGCTCCTCATCCCCAGCGATCAGCCTTCCAAAGTCCAGCCCGTCTCCCCCGACCCCCCCGCTCCGTAACTGTTCTGTGATTTCAGCGACGTGTTCAGCTTGTGATTCTTCTCGTGTTGACATTTGGCCTCAGCTGCCTCTCGGATGAGTTTATCTCTCTTTTTTTTTTTTAATCTTTTGTTTGTTTTTTTACCTTTGTTTTTAAGAAACACAGGCTGTGTCTGTGAGTGCTGTGATGGTGCTCATCGGTCACTTTTGGGAAAAAGCAGGCCCCTCTGTGTCTGAAGTGGTGGTTATGTAAGGTTTACAAATCAGAGATTTCGAACAGGGTGTTTAATATCCAAACGGGCAGAGATCACTCAAAGTGATCCATCTCTCTGATGCAGAATAGTTATGGGAGCAAAGCGACTCTCTTCTTTAGTTTGTTGTCTCAAGCACTTCAGGGCGGATGGATTTGATGGTAAAAAAAAAAAGATGAAAGCAGGAAATGGTGAAAGATTTGAATCTCTATAAAACTCAGTCAACCCATAATTAGTTTAGATTTAAGCTCTGTGTGCAGGCGTGAATTTTTTTAATCTGTTCCCAGTCTCGAGCTGGTGGTAATTGTTGGTATTGACACACCAAAAATGAAACTTTTTTTATCAGCAACAGCTAAATGAAAAAGACCACACGTGATTCTCTCAGAATGAGGACAGCCTCATTTTATTGACAAGTCAACGGAAAAACCGTTCTGACTTTTTTTTTAAAGGAAAAAAAGAGTTGATGGTTAATTGTTTAAAGGTCAATAGTATGTACCCTATAACATTATAACCAGCTGTCAGAACTCCAGCTGGGAAGTTTGGAGGTTTATTTAAGTCGAGCTTCCACTGTCCTGTTGCCGTCTGGGGTGTGTGACTGTTGTGGGTCAGAACCAGCAGCGTTTGTGCTTTTAATGTTGTGACTGACAGGTTTTTCAAAAGCAACCGGGTTCCCCCGATTCGGCGTTGAGAAAGGCACAAGTTCTCTTGGCTGTTTTCAGAGTGAGTTTTTTTTTACGCTGGCCACAGGGTTTATCATGTCTCCGATTATTTTTAACTGCCCAGAGTTGGATTGTGATCAAGAGTTTGAGCTTTTTGCTTTTAAACAATCCCAACAATGAAAATGATGACTCATATAGTTTGGAAACGTGTAGGTGTGTTAGTTGAACATATGGTGTGTGTGTGTGTGTGTGTGTGTGTGTGTGCGCGCGTGTGTGTGTGTGTGTGTATTTTGAGTTTATTCTAATTTTAGGGCTATGATTGACTGCTGCAATCATCTCTATGCTATCTATGAGCACAAAAGCAGATGCACAGGCGATGGAAGAGTAGACTTGGTGGAAAGGGTTTCTCAAGCACAGAACGGGAGATACGAGGTTCTGGAAACCTGTCCTCTGTGTCCTGCAAGAAGTGGCTCCACAATCAGACAGGCGCTGACCTTAAGAGACACTATGTTTAGAAAGAGAAGGAGGAGAAAAGCCCTTTGCACACATGTACTTTTTGTTTACTTCGCGACCTTAAGATCCAAAGCACCTAAAAGAATCTTCAAGGCAAATTACACAACCGTTTAGGTCTTCATTCACTCTTTTGCGATGCTCTACATCTCTAAAGACATGCATTTGTTTTTAAGGTGAGGTACAATACTTTGGGAAATATTGGCATTTGCACCAGTGCAAAGACATTGAATTCATTTTCAATTCCACGTGGTAAATGTGAAACTACAGCTGGCGCTCGGGCGGCACAGTGTAGCTTAAAGACTGGAAACGGGGAGCCAGAAAACCTCTCACTCGCTGCATCTGTCCATCACACCGGGGCCGCCTTAGGTGAGCCGGCCAGTTTTTGACGCATAAAAAGCAACAAACCCACATAGAATGCAGTTTAGGTTCATGCGTGAGCTCTAGATGTCAGAGCTACTCTCAAGCACAAAAAAAAACACCCCATCAAAATATGCTGTCACCTATTTTCTCTAAGCTGTCATATAAAACATTTTACCCCTCAGTTTCCAGTCCTTATGCGAACAGTTGGCACAGAAACAGAGACATGAAAGAGGTTATCATCTTACCTGCATCTCCGCAAGAACACAAACAAGATTACAGATAGTTCTTTCAAATAATTTCACCCCTGGGGACTTCAGCTGTAGTCGTTGTTTCGATTTCATACGTGGATGACAATCTCTTTTTATTCTGTTGATTTTTGTGATTACACATGTCTTTTTGTTGGTGTTTTCTTTTTGAGAAAAGGGACGTTTAAGTCTCAGGCCAACGTTTCTCTGGACTGTGCCCCCGTACTCACAGTGCTTATCTCCTGATTGAAGTTTATTTTTAAACTACACCCAGCCAATTTCTTTGCTATAGATCCTCTGTCAGATGGTCCAGAGGGAGTGAGGTTCTCTTCTTTAAACTTTTTATTTTTTTCCTTGAACATCTTCAGCAGATTCTGTCGTTTTTTTGCTATGTTTTTTTTTCCTCCTGCCAATCACGCCTGTTCACTTCTGCGTCTCTTCGGCCATGCTTGTCTGTTTTCTTTTTGTGTCCACTGTATGTGGAAGATTGCCTCATCTGAGGATGTCAGCTACTCATTTTAAACTTTTAAAAGAACTGCCAGGGCTTCATCGTTGGAGGTCGAGCAGGAGTTTACCAAATCATGACTCTTCTGGGGTGAGTGTGGGCCAAAGGACTGCAACTGAAGCCAGGATGGAAAGGACAGCCAGCGTGGGATGTTTTCAGACCGTAGAGCTGAAACGGAGGACGTCCTGCAGGTCTTGGTTGGTTTGAAGTGTTTCAACTCTTCCAGGTGAAGGCTGTGAACAAACAAGCCACTTCATGAGCACAGCAGACTGCTAGGAAAACAAACGGTTGGAGCAGTTTGAATTCGGCTAAAAGGGAAGAAGGTGAAGACAACGACTGGATCACAGTTTTACAATATGTATGTGTGCGTGTTTGAGTTTTCTCGTGTAATTTTTTTTTCTCCTCATGACATGTTTTTAATAACAGCTGGACATGTACCTGCCAGAGAGATTATTAATGTTATTATTGGGGGGAAAAAAAACCTTGTTACAATATAGGAGAGACTGCCAACATCTACTGCTGATTGGGGCCTATTTTATTCAGTGCTGGTGAGTTGTTGTGCTTGTACATATATGTCTTTTCAATCATCCCTTTTTATCCGCTGGGGGGTGGGGTATCCAGGCAGAGGGTTGGTCTTATTCATGAAAGTGCAGAGGGGAAAAGAATAGAGTATTTTGTTATTGTCCAATCAGAGGGTGACAGTATGTATATATCTATATTGTATATATGTGATGAAAATGCGTTGGCTTTTTGTGTGACACTACCTTTTACCTGTACTATGGTTCTACATTCAGTGTTTCAGTGTTGATAATATATATTTGGTTTATGTTTTATTTTTTTGTTTCTTTTGCTTTCCATGTCTTTGTCATTTGTTGTACTTTTTTTCCTCCTTTTTGTCCTTTCTGTTTGTTTATTGCACGGTTTATTACTTTTGTTGTCCAATGAGGTGACACAGCTACTCTTTGTATTCGTTATGTGCTGTAAAATAACTCAAGTGTTATTAGAATTGTGGATACCACCGCCCACCCCACCCCCTTCCCCAATATGCATGAATGGCACTTAAAGAAATAAAATATGGTAACTTCACTGTGGAATAATGTGATGTTTGAGCTTTGTTTTTTTAAATAAATTTGGTAAGTGGCCATGAAGAAAATCAACATGGAATGCCTAAATTATTTTATCTGTGCAGAAAAAAGCATGTAAGAAAAAGGCACCCCATGCATAGTTCTGAAAATCCGAATCTTCTGAGTCCTCTTTGCTCAAACCTAAGTGTGACGTCATCACATCTCATGGGTTTCCTGTTCACTCCCACAGCCCTCTTGGGACCCTGCTTAAATTTCCAAATCGGTGACACTTCTTAACATGTGGTCGCCCTGACATTAAACGTGCGCAGCACCCCTGCAGGATATTCACTTTCAAAGGGGGCTCCCCTCGGAACACCGCATTGGAGTTTTTAAAAAAGTAGCTGGACTCTGACCGAGAACAAAAAATGACCTACAAGATGTTTAGAGTGTCCTTTTTACTTCTGCTGATCCTGAACCTGAATGTTCAGCAGGCCTCATCCGCACCGATACGTAAGCCACGCACTTTGAACTCTTTTCAGGCTGTAGTCAGAATCTAATATCTGTCTTTATTAATAGATAGGAGGTTCTTAGTGACCTTTGCCTTATGCCAAATGATTTCGGAGCTTCTTGACCAAGGACTGATATAAATATAAACCCTCAGTTTTTACATGATCTAATATTTTGTAATCCAAATGCTCTTAAACTCTATCCTGAGGGCTTATATTGGAGTGACCTGTTGAATCCACATTTCTAACAGGAATTGAAGGTTGATTTCTGCTCACATGAATGTCAGACTAGATTAACTTTGAGATACATTAAAGGAAAATTCTTCTCTGTTACCTGTCGAGGGCAAGTTTGTGTTTCCATTGCACGACAAGTGGATCGTGAATCAGCCGAGTCTAAGGCAGGGAAAGCCAAGTGTTGCAGTAGGTATTACAGAGTCATGAACAACTCTCGATATCTGTTAGAAAAGTGAACTCAGTTAACCCAATAAATCCAAGCCAAAATGTCTTTCAATGAACTCTCAAATGTCACTAACAGTGATTCATGGTTCGCCTGCTTCTGCCGGCATGCTGATATGGCAGAAAGCCGAACTTTGATCACTTAGCACCCCATAGTGGTTGTGAAGCTTTTGGCGTGTTTCTAAATATTACTGAGAAATGGTGGTAGATACTTTGACGTAGATTGCAGGTGCTGACCAAACTAACTGGGTGTCTGGTGTGTTTGCAGGTGCTGAAGCTGTTCAGTTGCCTGCTGAGGTCGAAGAATCAGTTCCAGAGCAACAGGCAACAGAAGAGAAGAAAGATTTGATTGAGGAGAAACAAGTTCCAGCTGCTGCTTTGGAAGCAGAACCACTTCCTGAAGACGCTCCTCCAGAAGAAGTCATTCCAGTTATTGAAGAGGATGCTGAACCAGTCGCCGTGTCTCAGCAGCCAACCCCCGACGAGGCGTTGGCTGCAGAATCACAAGAACTGTCTCAGGTTCTCCCAGAACCTGACACTGTTGAAACCACACCTGAGGAGACGGTAGAGGATCCTGTTGTAACTGTTCCTGTGGTGTCTGCTGAAGCAGAGTCAGATTCAGAAGAACAAGAACAAAC